GATAACTTTGATGATTCTCTTGATCATTATAAACCTGCACATTGTATCCTTGATGATTCTTATTATTGGACATCGCATGTTGAGTCATAGAGCTATCCATGTGTATATCAAATGACAACTTATTCCTCGAATCTACCATTCTGGACGCAATGGGAGGACTACGAAAACGCGAAGCATTAGCGGCTGTATCTGGAGATTGCCACAAACCTTGTACAACCGAAATAGCTTCCTTCGTGTTTACAGTGAGGCTCTGCCCGAGCAGATGTTCTTCAGTATCAACAGCCAAAGACGAAGTGTGATGTTGGTGCATGAAATTTGTCGATTGTAACGGTCGACTATTTTGTTCTACTTTAAGTCTCTCAACTTCAATTCTCTCGGTCTCTAATCTTTGTTCAACTTCCTGTCGTTGAGTATCTAAAACCTGATTGTCGACCTGATTCTCGTATTGTTGCCTTTGCAACTCTTGTTCGGTTTGAAATCTCTGCTGATTGATTTCAGCTTCTCTTCTTTGTTGATTGAGTTCTTGCTCTTCTACTTCTTGTACATGATACATGTTCTCGTAATTATTGAGCTGGGATTGGGATTCTCTATCGGTTTCATGTAAACAAATCATCGACATTTCATGTTTATTTCCCAGAAACTGCTCTCTTCTGTGTGAAATATTGTATTGCATGATTAATTAAGATTGTATAAATTAATTGTATAAATGTTTTTACATTGATATGAACCTATCAAATAATTTTCTTATTATGTCTTCTCATAAAAAATGATACCTTTCTAAATAAAGTTGTGCTCTAATTTCTTCCATACTGCGATCAACATTATCAGCATAAACTAACTCTTTGGGATAATGTGGTTTTTGTACAATATTTGGATCTATTGGCTCTGCTACATATACTGGCACTCTCAAACAGTCATGATATTTACTACCGTCAAAAAAAGGTACATGATTTGGAAATAATTTAATTTTCTCCATATTACTGTCATCATTCTGGTCTTCGTGAACTGAAAGTGAATAAGAAAATTGTCTTTACACATCGTTTTCCTGTAATAATTTGTCGCTTTAATTTGATATATCTTAGTATTGTTCTTACTTTTAAAACCGGTTTTTACAGTAGGAGCTATTAATGGACCTCTCTTGCTTCCACTATTCCATGGCCCAGGCTTAATGGTGTTTTCTTTATGTACCATATCCTCTATAGGTACATGATCTAATATGCTCGAGCTCTTCATTTCCCCAGGTATGTCATCCTAATTTGTAAGTTAACATTTTTTATCATAAATTATTTTTAAAACATAACTGTTATCCTTACAAATATCTTACTTGATATATTTGTATTTTAGAATTGGGTTTTGTGTTCTGCATAGAAGACGAGATTTGGGGCACAGTCCCAGGGTAATACTCTCGTACACGATGACCTGTTCGTACACTGCCAACTCTTTTTCCAGCTCTTATCGCTCTTAATGAACTGAAAGCCTGACGTTGTTCGAATAAGGAAATATCATTTCTTTCTTCAATACGCCCAAGTGTTTTGCGTGCCACAGCAAATTGAAAATTTCTGAAAAGGTGCCATTGTTCAATTTTATCACATATTTTTATTTAATATATTTTATTATGGTATGTGAAAAGCAATAATGCATACTGATGAGCATGACTTAATTCTTCGAATGGTTCTGCATGAGCAGATAGTCCCATTAAGTAAACTTCATCCGCACGTTTGTCGTCCTCAATTTGCTCTAATTCAAAAGCCCAAGCTCTGTATATGTCGGCTACTCTAGTTCCGATACCACTACTGTGCAACAGCTGATATAACTCCAAAGGATTCTTTTGCATACTTATCTAAAAATTAAGTCTTATTATAACACTTATAACAATATGATTATATTTATAAGATATTACTGACATAATTAATCCACAGACGTATGTATCTGCGATCTTGATGATATTTTACATCCTTTTCAAATATCGCTAAACATTGTTGCAAGAGTCTCCCAATATGGGATTCATGTCCACTTTTCAGATAACTCTGTTCTACCCATAGAATGTATTCATACCAATTCTCTAATGGATCATCTCCTTCGTAATTCTTAATTGCATCTTCATGCATTCTAAACAAAAATATATTATATAAATATTTTTATTTAACAACTTAACGAAATGGCTGTGTTCAACGGAAATAGCAAGTTTTAAAATTGTAAAATTCTTTAATATGGCTTGTTTTGTCCTTAGTTTTTTACTGAGTATAAATGACGTATAAATCACACAATCATTAAAGACTTTTACAATAGTTATAAAGCTACTTTTTTTTGCTGAATCCAGCCATTATTATATTTTCCATATTAATTTATATAACAGAATTAGCTATTACATACAAACGTTTTTGAATCTATATGTTCAGAATACTCACTGCTTCTCCTGTAGCAACAACTGCTGTGCATCTGCATCCTCCTGTGCTCTCAGTGCAGTTCCTAATTGAGTAACATTCCGTCCATATCTTAATGGCTGGATATTCTCTTTACAAAGAGCTATTACCGTCGCGGGATCCATTTCAAGCTCTGTTGTCTTTAATGCTCAGAGATTTCCTTATACACTAACAAAATAACAAAAAATTTCACAATAAATGCAAACAGTACTAGAGAATATTCAGCAGCATCCTAATTAATTATGTGATTATGCACATATAAAAATGTAAACATCCTCTACTTTACGACTGTCAATGGAACATCGGAGGATGCGTGATATGTCGGAGCAAGAGCCCAACAAAACGATTGTTACTTCGTCGAACGGATTACTATGACGTCTGGCACACGGCACACCGCGATCTTGTAGGGCGAAGAAAGAGTTCGACACTCGTTGACTTGACATCAACGGTCGATGTTGACGTCGACGTTGTGGGCATGACACGACGAGCGAAAGGAGTCCCGCGGAGTGACCCGCGAGGGGAATTAAGATCCCGCGTGCTTACTTTACTAGATCAGAGTCCTGTGTAAGGAACGCGTGCACACTCTCGCCTACCGCAGTTCGGCATAACAATCTCGCATCCGTGGTCGGATTTTCAAATGAAACTCTGTTCCAAAAACTCCAATAAGGACGCTGTCGAGTCACGGATTAGGTTAGGTTCACACTTTAACGACTCAAACGGCGGAGTGCGGCGGAGGAGGAAGGGGGACTCGCCAACAACGGTTGTAACTGTTCTCTCTCGGTTACGATTGACGACGACAGTACTGCAGACAGTACACTTAATGCACTCGATATCTCGCCTCGCCTCGCCTCTCCTCTCGAATCGCCTCGTCTCGTCACACCTCGTCCCACCGCGCTTTGGCGCGGTTAGTTGCCTTGCTCAGCCTTGCTTAGCCGCTGCGTCAACTGTGGTCAAACTGTCGACTGCCCTGCGTCGCCGGCAAGCCAAGTGATGAAATCTCGATCTGCGGGATGTCCGCTTTTGAATTTAACACTCGGGCAACGAGTGCGACGACAATAGGTGATGAGCGACTGCAAAGTGCAATTGTTCATAAGCTGCGTAATATTGCAGTCTCTAATCTCGATCGACATTCGACGTGTTGCGTTATTCTGTTTCGTCGAGAATTTTTACAGATAGCATGGCCATTTGTCGAGAGGCGATTGGAGGCGACCCTTGCGTAACGATCTCTCAAAACTGTTGAAAATTTTCGCAATCGTTAATTCATTCGGTAGCGCGAAACACACGTTGATTCGTATTTACGAACTCTTTCACGAGCTAATCACATTTTGCAGAAATATCTTAAATTATATATTTCGGTTAAGAGGATGCTAGTTGGAGTGATCAAATTGGAGGAACATTGTAGATTAAAATAAATTCCGAATTTATTGAACGGAATCAAATATTCTTTTACAGGATTGAAATAGACGTAAAATTGGATGGTGCTGCAATGGATTTTGTACTAAAATCGGAAAAAAGTTAATTATTCCTAGAGCTATCACTTGACGTAAATATTAGTATTGTTCGTTTTGTCTCTCGGGAGCTGCTCGGAGTCGCTCTGAATAAACCTAGCGTACTCGGATGTGATCCATTTAATACTGCAAATGCTTCGTTGATCAATCAGAAGAAAAAATTTTACGAATTGATCAATCAAAGTATGTTTTGAGGTATCTACAACATTAAATAGACCGCATCCAAGTATGCTAGGTTCGTTCGGAGCGACTTTGAGCAGCTCTCGAGAGACAAAACGAACGATACTATTTTCTTTTACATTTTCTTAATACAAAAAGTTTAAAGCCCATGTCACACTACGGACTGTGGACGCGGATCGGATTGCGTATCGGAATTCATCCAATCAAAATAAAGCTGCTTTGTTTTGATTAGCTGAATATCGATGACTTCACCCCCACCACCAAAAAAGCATGACAATGCCTAGATAGGAGCTGCGCAGAATTAAGCGGGGAGCACAGACTTTTGCATAACGCATAAACCATATACATAAAGAATTTGATTGGCCCATTTTCTTATGCATGAGTCAATGGACCAATCAAATTCTTTATGTATATGGTTTATGCGTTATGCAAAAGTCTGTGCTCCCCGCTTTATTCTTATAAAACATATATAACATGAAACGCTCATTGCCTATATCGCCAATGTATTGGGCTGAAGCCAAGGTTAGGTGCGAGAGAGAAAGGTATAGTGGAACTAAAATTCGCAGTGTGCATGCTCAATTTCGTCAGGTGTCCATTGGTTGGTAGGGTAACCGTAATGAATAACACATTTCATAGAAAACATATTTTATGGAAGATCCAATAATTAATATATAAATCATTTATAAGAGCTCTTAAAGCCACGGCACATAGAAAAATTCAAAACATAAAACTTAAGAAGTAATAAACAAATTGACCAATCACAGTAGAGACCGTAAGATCGTAACGTAAGTTAGTAGTAAAAACAACATATTAATTTCATTATTATCTTGAGTTTTTTTTTATGTGTGAAGGCCTTCATCAGTTTGAAAGTATACAAGTGTATATAAAATATAAATTACTATAAATCAAATTAATATACTTAATTCTGCTAATCTGTATTGTCGTGTTTGAGTATTTCTGACAAGAACGATGTTAAATTTTTTGTTAATCATTTCGAGTAATGAGATCAATGTGATATATCCGATACCAATACCTTTTGCTTGACTAAATAAAAAGTCCCCTAGTGTTATATATCCCATAACTTCTCTATCGCAAGAATGGCGAACTTCTGCACATTCTGGAAGATACAATTCGGACATTTTTACTAACTGATCAGATATAATTTTATGATGCGATGAAACGGTTATACGTGTACTTTCATTTAACTTATCCGATTCTTTCAGGAACTTTAACGCATTGTTTCTCAATGCTTGCTTCCATCTAACTCTTTGTCGTTTTAGTCGTTTTAATAGTATCAAATGATTCTTTCGTAATGCTTTACGAATTTTTTCATTCGGATCGTTATGGCACTTTTCTACAGGTCCAAGCCATTTTTTATTACTTTTAAATTCGTTCAAATCTTCGAATGTCGGCATGCATATAATAGCAAATTTTTTCGGCAATCCTTTTCCTACTACAGATACATGAATATGTATTAAGCAATTTTTATAATCGTCTAAATTTGGAAAATTAGATTGCGTATTTTGAGCAAGAAATTTTGCATTTTTATTTTTGGCAGGACAAATAGCTGCTTGTAAAAGTAGCAAAAGTTCACGATTTCTTAAAACATAAAAATCTTCGTTGTTTGACCAGTTTTTCATCAAATTTTTCCAATCGCAAAAGAAAGGACTACGAATTCCGAATTTGACAAAATTAGTTCGTCTATTTGGTGGGTAACGGAAATATTTTTTAGTCAATTGTTCCTTTGTAATTAATGCTTCTCTCATGTAGGCAGGACTGTCGGGATCATTAACATCAGGTGTATTTAAATTCAAACTTTCAAAAGCTATCGATTTTGATTCTTGAAGTGCACCTACTCTCGCACATTGCATCAAAAACGCAAGCCAAAACGGCATTGCCCATCTGGCTGGTATAATAACATCTACACCAGAACCTAAACCTGTCAACATACATCATTGTATTATTTTTAATAAATATCAAAGGAAAAATCGAAAATTTTGTAAGACTACGCATCTAGGATTATATATGTAGGATAAGCTTTTTAAACATACAATCTAATTTTTAATTTTTGTATTTTATACATGTATGTATATGTATACATATGCAAGATATTTTGAATTTTAGTCAAACTTCGGAAGCATATAGGGAATTAATAAACTAATAGTGTATGCCGTATTTGATTTAGTGATTCAACTCAACTCTGAGTTAATGGCCTGTTTTGTTTAGCTGCGAAAGAAGAGTTGAAAAACGCTAAAGTGTGCAAGAAATGCAGCTAAAAAGAACAGACTTTATTTTTAGCTCTATATACTCTTAGCGCCTTTTCAACCTTTTTTTTGAAAAGGAGTTTTTTTTAGTTTTTTACGTGGAACATATACATACTCTTAGCGCATTTTTATACAAAATAACATGAACAACAAAATCTATACATATATACATTATAAATTGTATAAATTTTACACTTGTTCATGTAATTTTTCAACTAGTATTTTTTTTTACAATGCACATTATAATACAAAGCTATATATTAAAATATATCGGTCATCAAACTGTTTGTGAGAAATTTCTGTTCCTCGGCGAAGCATTCGAGAGGTTGAGAATACTTAATTAATAAACTTACTTAAAAAGTTACGCAGTTGATAATACGAACATGTTGTAAAATTCGCAAGAATAAAAAACGCTTCACTTAATTAAGTAAAGCGTTTTTTATTCTTGCGAATTTTACAACATGTTCGTATTATCAACCGCGTAACTTTTTAAAATCTGAAGATGGCTCAATTTATATGCCTAAACATGCAATCATTTAATCATATTTACATATTTTTAGATGTTGACTTTTATGTTCTTGTTGTTTAATTTGACTCTTATATGTCCTATTTGAATCTATTTACTATATATTAGAATTGATATTATACATATAATGCAAAGAGAAAATAACATACATAAGTGTATAAGCTTCTCGCTGACATATCGATTCAATTTGTTTGCGTGAAAAATTAAACTGTTGTATGGAGCAAAACTAGATAAATGTGTCAGAAATGTTATTTTTATACATAAGCATTATTGATATTATTTAATATCAAAACAAAGCTCGGTATATAAAAATATATAGTTTGCATTGTTATCGTTGTAGTTCCACTTAATACTTTTGCGAGAAAATTAATGTAAAATTACCGATTATGAAATCATTAATGAAAATGACATAAATACAGCCTTATATAAGTACTACATATACATGCAAAGTCAATGTCGGTAAAACGAGTGTCGACGTAAACATTGTCAGTGATTTTATTTTATCATGTCAATCAAACAGTATCAATTAAAACATTGTCGATGAAATGATTGTCGGTGATTTCATACAAATCCCTCTGAATATTATTATAAAACAATAATATTCTACTTTGAAAACAATAGTTTTCCGAAAATTGCGTTTTGTCTTTTTTTTACGATTTTCTTCAAAACGAAGCAAAATCAAATATATTTCTAAACTTTTTTTCTTAGTTTATTGATTCCCTAAATGCTCCCAAAGTTTGGCTATTTGAATTAACACAACCTACACATGTATACAATATACATATACAGGCTGTTCCGTGAGACTTCTCGAATCGCGCACTAAAAGACAGATAGAATCAAAATAAACACAAAAGTCCTATACCCTTTAACGATATTCGCAATAATAATCGAAATATTAATTTTTGCAATTGTACCAATGAGAACGCACCGAGAGTAACGCTTTGGCCGCTCGAGGTATAGCCCTGCTCAGTTTATCAAACATTAGCTACGTCGGCAGTGCGTTGAAGAGACAAGAGAGAAAGCGTGCCACACCGCGCCGAACTGGGCTATACTTTGAGCGGCCGGGGCGTTTGTTTTCTCGGTGTGCTCTCATTAGTACTATTGCAAAAATTAATATCTTAATTTAAATTTAACTTAAAAAAAGTTTAACTAGGTTTAACTATGTTTAATTAAGTTTTATATAATTAAAAAATTGAATTACAAAAAAGGCAAATTAAAATATAATCAAACGAATCGATTAATGCTTTCATGTCTTCAGAGATAAGAATTTTTGTGGAATTAAATTATTGAGAACGCGTCGAAATTGTGCCGTTGTTTGCGAGTACGGTCATATGTATTAGTTTACCATTTAACTTCGACCAAAAAACGTTTCTCGTGTTTATTTAGAATAATATTAAATTTTACAAACAAATACATATGATGTAAATTTATTGCATATCATATTTCTATCCCGAACTTGTGAAAGGACACCGCAACAGTTCTTATGGAAATAAAGTCTCGGTCAAATAGGCTGAAATTTTGATATGATCTACAGATATGATCTGTAGATTTTGGCTCACTGATTAAAAGTCTCAATGGTTACTAGGCCAAATAATCGACAGTTTTGAAGTTATGGCGACTCAAACATCCACAATTTACCTCCACCGTTAGGCGGTATGTCGTAATGTTAGGCACGTGAGATTTAAGTATTTAAGTATTTTGTCCCCTTAAACATTTTTATTTATGCTTACGTGGTTTTATGCTTATTTAATGAATTTATTGTTTTAGAATTGAACCACATTTTAAGAGTTTTATATATTTTTATTTATATTTATATTTTTATATACATGCATTTATACACTCATATATATGAATATATACGCGCGCGCACACGCACACACATGCACTGAACGGTCTCACATGTATGATTGTATCAAAACGTACCGATACGTGATCATTTGACTCATAAAACATCATTTTTCTTTAAAAAAAACTATGTTTGCGTATACTTGCGCGTGCGTGCATGTATATTCGTATATGTGGGTGTGTAAGTGTATGTACATAAAGGTGTGAATGAAGATTTTTAAGGGAATGAAACACATTGAATTAAATCTCACGTGCCTAATATCATGATGAGTCCGTCTGACGATGGGTAGGTGGGTGGGTGTGTGTGTGTGTGTGTATGTGAGTATACCTGTGATAGTTTCCAGATTCTGAATAAGTATAGGTATCTTTACTATAAAATATCTTCAGTATAATATTTGATACACCAGGTAGAGCTAATTTTTGGATGTTTGAGTTGCCATAACTTCAAAACTATTGATTATTTGGCTTAGTGACCATTGAGATTTTTAATCAGTGAGTTAAAATCTATAACATATCAAAATTTCAGTCAATTTGACTGGAACCCCATTTTCATAAGAACCATTGCTGAGTCCTTTTTATTTAAAATCTGTTTTTCTAAAATAAAAGAAAAATACCTACAAAATAATTTGGATATATTTCAGAAATTAAAATAGTCATATATATATATATATATATATATATATATATATATATATATGTATATATATATTTTTATAAATATAA